CCACAGACCGAAGCCTCTTTTGCCCTGAGTTCCTTCACTAAACTCACACTTCTATTTTTAATTATCTTTAAACTTTTTTATTAATTTCGTTACTTTAATTGTTTAAGAATTCAAGATAAGCATAAAACCAATATTTGTACCTTTGATAATATGGAGACAATGAACTTTTCATTTTTCTCAGCCACAAGGTGGCAGAAATTTCCATGTTAAAATCTGACTTAGAGCCACAGCCATATTGGAGGAGTCCTCTTAAAGGTGGCAATCACACCCAATTGACCCAGCTATTCCCTTTCTGGGGACCTTCACAGAAGTATTAAAAACATTGTACCACAGAGATATATGTGCACCCATGTTTATAGCAGCACAATTTGTAATAGCTAGATCTTGGAAACAACTCAAATATCCATCAAACGAGGAATAGATTAAAAAAAAGATATGGTCTTTTTATATAATGGAGTATTATTCAGCCATAAAGAAGGATAAACTGGAGACTTTTACAGGGAAATTGATGCAAATTAAGACCATACTCATAAGTGAAATAAGCCAGATGCACATGTGTAAACTTCGTATTGTCTCCCTAGTGTGATCCAAAATGTATAACAGATACTGTAAAATGGGAAGAAACTTCAAAAGGAAAGAGACGCTGGTTTAGGGAAAGGGGAAAAAGAAGGATGGGAAAAGCAAAAGCAAAAACTAATGAACAAAAAATATATATAGGATAGTAAAGAGAATTATGGGGCTGATTTCTCTCAGTTCATTGAAGGAACAGGTGTGTGCTAATATTGTTTGGACAATTAAACACTGATATCTTATACTCCAAGTAACTGATTTGAAGATAACAATACCTAACGTGTTGACCACTGTCACCCTCCTATCATACTGCTTTGAAATTTTGTTTTTATTTTATTTCTTTAAAATAAATGTTTTTCAAAGGTGGCAATCACAGAGATTTAAGGAACAAAGAGTCAGCTGCACACATTTCCACCAGGTCCTAAGTGCCTCAGGATCAGTGGCCGTCACTCTCTGGAGTGGAGCGTACTGAACGAGGGCAGGGGACTCCAGGCAGCAACAAAACATGTCAGGGAAATACCCTATAGCTGCCTATACCTAGGCATTATGCTAAGTGTTTTGGAGGCATTATCTCAGCTCCTCTCAATAGCCTCACCCACTAAGGGCTCCAGTCCCATTTTAGACATGGTGGTGAACCATGACAAATTAACCTGGCCCAAATCCCGGCTATCGAAGTAGGGGCAGAGTCCAGTCTGGGCAGCTGCACTCTATGATGTATCCTCTAAACCTCCTTCACAGACCCACCCCAGTCCCACAGACTTCCAAGTAGCAGACACTAAGAAAAGAGCTCAACTAAAGAGTATCAACATGGCCCTCATGACCTGAAGATATGAGTGGTGGCTGCTGGGAAGGGGACACCATGTTGGTTTAGGCAGCAAGCAGCCACAAAGCCAGCTTTTGGGGCTCCGTAGGGCAGGTGCTAGAGGTGCCAGCCTTCCCGGCTCCAGATGCGTCAAGCTGCCCCAGAAGCAGCCCAGGACAAGTGGGTTTAACAACAGTTACTATTTACTCACTGTCCATTTGCTGTAATAGGTACAAGAATGTATTTGTTTCTTTTAATCCTTATGTTGTAGCTGAGAAAACTGAAGTTTAGAGATCAGGGTTACAGTGTCACGACTGCCTGTCTGCAGGATCTACATTTTTTCCACTACTTTCAGGTGCCTCTCAGAATCCATTATCCTCACAGAATGAAAGCACATTCCAAAGCCCTTAGAAGGAAAAAAAAAAAAAAGCTAGAAAACTTTAACAGACAATTTTCATAGCATTGTCACAAAATTGAGCTTTCTGTTCTTAAACCTACTTTCTCCAAATACCGTACCCAACTGTTTTCCAACTCTCTTTGATCTTTGAAAGTCTTGAGAGCCACAGTCTTACAGGGCAAGTGACTCGGACAGGACTACTTTAGGAGCTTCCTCCTCAAACGCAGAACTTCCCTTTCCCCACTGAGCGGCTCGACCTCGAGGATAAAACCGATCTTGAGGATAAAACCATCCTTACTCATTGGCAACTTGCATTCAATCATTAGTGCTTAATAAAACTTAACTGATCAATACTTGAACAACAACTATTACAACTACTTCACTCATTGAAATGCCTCATCTACTTGTTTACATTACCGAAGTCACAGGTCCTAACAACCTTCCTTGGAATCAGTAAGACTCCATCAGCCTCTAGCATTGCACGTAATTTTTAGAATGACAACCTTGTCGCACTCAGCTTGCTGTCACGTCAGGATGACATTCAACAATGATTCTGCCTTGACCAACAAGTCCATCCCTCCTGTTCTTAAATTCTTCACACTTTGAAATCTATTAAGGGGGAGGGGACACTAAATGTCAACTACCTTGTACTGAAGTTCTTTTCATGCCACTCACAGCTGTACAAGTTGCATCTCCAACATATGTTCTCACTTCTAACTGCTAAACTGGCATCTTTTCCCCTTAACCTTGCTAGCTCAGTGTAAGTTTTCAAATAAGTCAACTAGGGTAGGACTCTAATAATATCCAAATATCTCTGGGTTTGTCCTCTCATATCTTCTACACAGAAGGACTTGGCCCTACTAAGTATTGAATGTAGACCTTTGAAAGAGTTAAAACACAAGAGAAACAGAGCCCCTTTTTCCACTGCCCCCACCTTTTATCTCCCCATCTACTGCAACTTGATACCATTCAAGACTTCATATAAACTTAAACTTTAACAGGCTGGGCACAATGGTACATTTCTGTAAGTCTAGCTGCTTAGGAGGCTGAGAAAGGAGGATCACAAGTTTGAGGCAAGACTGGGCAATTTAGTGAAACTGTCTCAAACAATTTTAAAAAAAAAGGACTACTGACTCACTAGTGGGCACCCCTGGAGTTGATACCCAGCGCAAGTAAGGAAAAAACAAGAATGAATAAAAAATACAAACAGAAGCAAAAAAAAGTTTTAAAACACAGTAAAAGCCTCAGTAAGAGAAATAAGTATTACCAGTGAGATACCACTTTTCCCCTACTAGACTAGAAACATTTGATAGAATCTTGTACTGCGGAAAGTATGGAGAAACAATCTCACAATGCTGATGAGAATTTAAACTAGTTCACATTCTGTAAAGGATAACACAATTAAAGATGCAATTCTACCTCTAGGAATTCATCCTGCAGATATACTCACACACATGCAAAGTGACACATACTAAAAGGATTCTATGCAGCACTGTTCACAATTGCAGTAGAAACAACCTAAATACCCAATTTGGGGTAACTGATTCATCCCATATCCAAGCAACCACATTCTACAAAACTATAAAAAATATGTGCGCAGAACACTCAAATGCTGTAGTATCATTTGTATAAAAAGGAAGAAAAAGATGAGCATGTATTTATCTCTTACATGATTATCTCAGGGGATGAAGCAGCTGGCAAACAATACTGGGAGGAAGATGTGTACTGTACAGATCTTTAAGTGATTTAAATTATGAGCCAAGAGTATTACTGTTATGGTTTAGATCTAAAATGATCGTGTGTATGGACGTCGACTGGATTACGGGGACATTATCACTAACTTGTAGTCAGAAGCTGGAGTGTGGCTGGAAGAGGTAGGCCACTGCAGATGTAACCTGGAAGGTATACTCCCTTCCTGGCTCCTCCCTGGATCTCTCTGCTTCCTGCCCACCACACTGTAAGCAGCTCTCCTCTGTCACCCTGTGCTACCTTAGAGCCAGTCAACTACAGACTGAAACATGAACCAAAACAAATCTCTCCTCCCTTGCTGTGGTGCCAGGTATTGTGTCTCAGCGACAATGTGACGGATAATTACAAACTTCAAAATAAAATTCTATTTGTGTTATACAAACTTCTATCTCCTTTCCAAGCTTATCTTTCCTTTCCTAGTCCTTCCATGAGTGACTAGAATCATGGTAATCTGGCTGGAACTTATTTCACTTTTCATCTTTTGGGGTCAGGGTCAGCTGGTGTGGTCCTTCCTTTGACTTTCCTCTCAGAAAGGACAGGGTCGGTTTCAGCCTGCACTGTATTTGGAGGTGGTCAGACTTCAGGGTCAGCTGACACTCTGCTGTGCTGACGGGTAGTTGATACGCTATTTCCCCATGTTCATGTTCTCAGAGGTCGAAGGCCTGTGGAACCCTCATTTTCTCTTTCTAGTGCTCAGTCAGTTTATTAGGTCATTCAAAGCCTATAGAGTTATCTTTTCCTAGAGGAGACTGATCTGTGAAGATTTGTTAATTCCACTGGAGTATACTTTTTCCATAAGTCTAAAAGGAAGTTACATTGTCCAGTGTCTGTCTGCTCCTGGTTAACAATACTGATCATTAGAGACTGAAGAGAGAAGTCATTTAACTATTGTTGGTTTAACACAAGATGAACTTACCAGCATTGGATAAAACAGCAACAATATATCATACTAGTAAGAAAAACTCACATAATTTGGAAACAATACCCAGGCCCAGGTCATTCTGCACATATAGTTCAGGTTCATACTATATCACTCCAAAATGATATGAAAGATACATCAAAAGTGAATACAGCTTTAACCAATGTACATTCTTTAATGGGGTGAGGGTGCTGGGATATAACCTATGGCCTCATGAATGCTATACAAGGGCTTTACCACTGAACTATACCCAGCCCCATATTTCATTTCATTTCATTTCATTTCATTTCATTTCATTTCATTTCATGTCATCTCATCTTTTGAGACAGAGCCTAGCTATGTAGTTCAGGCTAGCGAGGTTATAGGCAAGGCCACCATGCCTGGCCCAATGCATATTCTTAATAGACATTCAAGCTTAAAAAGGAATAATTGTAGTATCCAAATTTACAAAATAAAGTTTTTTTGCTACCTTTGCTGGCCTTCCTCCATTTAGAAATCCAGAAAATATGTTACTATAATTACCCTAGTTATTACACAGAGATACAAAGTTTCAAGTTGCTTACTGTCTAGCTTGGTCCTTACTGGAGTAGGTGACATTTACGACTGCAGTTTCCGAGTCAGTATTCACTAAAGGAAGAGAAAAACAAAAAATAAAAGTTAGTTTTCTTTCTATTTCCTTCCTTTTACAAATTTGAAAGCAATTCAGAAGACATGTACCTTGCTCACAGGTCTCCACCACTCCATACTGGACTAGTAAACTATCCAGCACCTAGCAGGAGGGGGAGAGAAAATTATAAATTTTGAGTTTCCCAAGTTATTAGCCAGGGCAGGAAAGTTTTTAAGTCACTAATTGTGATGGAAATGAGAAAAAAAAAGAAAAAGAAAAGGCACTGGGACTCTGGACTACAGAACTCAAGAAAAGACAGCGGAAAGAGCATACTAGATGGGCTTTCCTCTCCTGCCCCTTCCTGAGTCCTGACTGTACCCTCACTCCTCTGGCTAAGAAGCAATATGGAGCCTGGTAATCTTCAAAGCCACAGCTGGCTGACTCTTGAGGCTGAAGGAGACAGTGACACACAAGTACATCGTCTTCCTTCCGCCTGATACACAAGGTCATGAGACTGGTTTTATCTGAAAGAGGCTCCTTTCCAAGCAACTTCCCAGTACAGCTCTACCAAATGAAACGCAACAGAACTGTGTCAAGGCAGACTAGCAGAATGAAGGGAGCCCACCTGACACTCTACCTGGAAACTTGAATTGAAGATTAAAATAAGTAGTAATAAGCATGTGGACAGTATAACGTATAAAAAGCAGCGAACTCTTCTGAATCTACTGAGTCAGAAAATGTAAATTTGAAGTGATTTTCACCATCTTTCCTGTGGCTGTATTATTACACTGGGTATTATTCTAATGTAGAGGCTATTAAAACATTAACTATAGATTTTAATATGAACTGCAGGTGTGACTCATCAATATAAACCAAATTCAGCTGTCCTTCCAACCACTGTAAAATTCTCTTTAAAAGTATTAAGTTTTCCATAAATTTGTAACAAACCACTGGAGCTAGGCATGGTGGCACATGCCTGTAATCCCAGCATTCGGGAAGCTGAGGCAGGAGGATCAATGTGACTTCAAGACCAGCTTGGGCTACAAAGTGAGTTCAAGACTAGCCTGAACTGCATAGAGAGACCCTGTCTCAAAAAAGCCAAAAAGTAAAAAATAAAAAATAAATAACAAGACCACTTACTCATTCATTTAATTGCAAAATCTGAAGGTCAGTCCCCTGAAAATGTTTCCTGGTTCCAGGACACACTAAACTATTAAGAAGCACGACAAGTTTTTATGGTAATTTCCTATCAGACCTTAAGAAACCTCTTGTAAATGATCCATTACCTTATACATTACCTTTTATGCTTTTATCTACTGGTTCCAGTTTGAAATCTTTGACAAGGTTTGTCTGGGAATGTGCTTTATTTCCTTTAAATAAGGTTAATACCTACTTGTAAATGGAATACTCTTTCACAGTTATGTTTTGACTTAGTGAATTTTCCTTGAGTGGGTTATACCAATAGAAACACATTATTAATCTTTGACTGTATTTATAGCCACCATTACATCATAAAGCTTAAGTTTTACATTTTTCTTCTGAGCATTTAATGATACTGCATTAAAATTTCATTCATCTGTTTAAGTCACTATTACCCACTGTCCATGAGGAAAGGAAATTTTTGTTCACCGGTCTGTCCTCCCTAGAATACACAGGCACAAAACGGTATTCAAATATTTTCCAATATTTGAAAAGAGGGAGGGAACTCAGGAATAGCTCATTAGGAAAAATATTCTTATCTAAGTGCTATCCTCTTCAGAGGTCAACTTGCAACACACAGTCTTGTATCATAGAGACATTTTTTACATATAGGTCAAAAAATTAAAACCCTAATTGGGCATAGTGGTGTATGCTTGTAATCCCAGCACTCAGGAGATTGAAGCAGGAGGACTGCCATGAGTTGGAGGCCAGCCTGGGCTACATAGTGAGTTTAAGGACAGCCTCAACTACCTAGTGAGACCTTGTCTCCAAAAAAATAAGAAATAAACAGGAAAAGAAAGCTTTCATAGCCGGGCACGGTGGCACACACCTGTAATCCCAGCACTTGGGAGGCTGAGGCAGGAGGATCATTGCGAGTTTGAGATCAGCCTGTGCTAAGTGAGCTCAAGGCTGGTCTGAAGTGCATAGCAAGACCGTGTCCCAAAAGACCAAAAAAAAAAAAAAAAAAA